TAGTTCAGAGCAAGCTTCATCCTAATTGGTTGTACATTTTGGTAAAATCCCAGGGTGTAAAAGTAAAATGAGTTCTTTTACAGGAACAGAAGAAATCAACGACTTTCACTGCTTGAAGAAGACTACTGCAAATGTGATAACATGAGATTTTTTATTTAGTCATACACATGTATTGTTTCCATCTAGATCTTGCTGGCGCTTAGTACGGCCCTGAACAACAAGCAAAACCGGCGTTGAAACTCTATAGACACTCTAGACTATTGTTACCTAACCATTCCCCTATATGTCTGAAAAGAATTCCTGAGATTCCAATCACACAATGACCAACACAAAGGGGGGGGTGTTATCTCGGTTCCGTTTCTTGTTTCTTTTGTAGGTACTGTCCCTAATAGGACGGGAAGCAGTACAGCTTCAGCCACAAGTTCCCGTCCTACAGACATCCAAGGAAAGGAGTGACCGGTAGAAGGTAGTGATTCCGGTAGACTCCTTCTGGTCTTGTGTCAATGTGGAAATGAGCATATAACAACTCCCACAGTAACAATGCAGTCACATGGCAACACTGTCACATGACAAACCTTAAAGGTTTGCAAGCGACATGGTAGCTAATTTTGATATATAACAGACTCTAAATGAGAAGTCTTGCACAGGCTCAAAATTTCCTTCTGGAAGGACCAGTCAATCCCTGTTTATTCTCCTCCTTTTCGTAGTCCTTTCCCTTCCACCAAATTCTCCCGACCATTTCCCGCGACTCTCCCCCTAGTCCCAATGTTATACATTGTAAAACATTGAATCCACTAATGCCGGGTAGATGTAACTGAAAATAGCACGCTGGCACCATAGACTCGGCCCCAGTCGCTGGTATTATACAATTCCATATCACTACAGATATCGTAATTTATGAAATAACTAATGACACAACTGCTTCAAATCGTTCGCTGACAGGCGATCACTCATCCCCCATGGTCGTCAATGTATCCGCTCATGGGCGTAAATCCGGGGGGGGGATGGGTAGTAGTATATATCCCTGATTTTTTAGGTGAAGGGATTGGCCATTGAATCCTCCTGGCCGCCTTTTGAGGTGAACAAAGCACTAATTTGCGGATGTTGAAGATTTCTGTGGTCTTCCAAACAATTGAAGTATATTTAATATCACTCAAAAATGATAACCAATAAAAAACATAAATATGTCACTCTGATGTAAGATATTTTGCCTGAATTTAATACATATTACAGACGTACGTGTGTGTCATGGCCATTTGCCCCCTCCCCCCAGCTTTCCAAAATCCCACGGTCGGGAAAATTATTTCCCACATTTCCCAATACCCCATCCCCATTTCCGGCACAATTTTACGCCACCGGATCTTTGCCCTTTCACGACACAAGATAAATATCAAAACTATTGTCCTGAAATTAAAAAAAAAATCAATCGTATCTCCAAGGCCTTAACAAAGCCTTAGAGAAAGAAGTTAATAGAATCGAAACGTCAGAACAAAGTTTTTTCCCCAGGTAAATATCAGGGTACAGTTTCCTCTAAGATCATTACATTGAAACCTAAATTCGAGATAACATTATGATGGATTGCAAGATTAAGCGCATTCATTTTCATGGACAGTATACGTATATTTTATTCATCATTTTTGCATCAGGTTGACCATCTGTTCGTCCAGTTAACAGTAAGTGTGATCAAGAAAGTGGGGGCCCAGGTACAAAATCTAACGACAAACTCGGCCCATAAACATTTTAAAAAATCTGACATTACTTCTGTTGTCACATAATAATTGGTTTATTGTAATATGTAACTCATTAAACGATTTGTGTGCCTTGTTTGTGGTATGTCTTCCAATGGAGAAACATAAGCCTCGAGGGGAAAGAGAGGAAAATACATGAATCTAGATGTAAAAAAAAACGCCAAAGTCTCCTTAGACAGTTGTAAATGTAACTTTAGAAAGTTTCTGCAAAAGTAAGGCCCAAAATCTCGTATAAATCCTGATTTGCATAAAGAACAAGATTCCAAGAAGAGTAATTTACTTACAGGTAATGCTTGCAAAAACTAGAACAAGGTTGGCAACTTGCTACGTGTTATACAAAACGACATGGATTTAAGCAAAATTGTGACTGATGTGGTCGAGACAACGATGAGGGTATAAATAGTTTTACAATCAAGACAGGGCGCCATACACAAAACTTGGACAGGCGTTCCGTACCACTTGCCACCTGGCAACTTGGATGGCTCTAATCAAAACAGACAAGTGTCCAAAGACAGAGGTTCAGTCTTGGAAGAACAGCTTTCAAAACAACTAATGGTTCAGCTCTTCGGCACGAACCTTCACATGGCTTCCTGGAATGGCGGATGTAACCAGTGCCAGTGGCCCCTTGTTACGAATGATTTGCTTGTCTTTCATGAGAACCAGATCTCCTGCTTGCAGGTTCTATTGAGGCTATTTCCAATTAAGTTGGCTTCGTAAGATGGGGAAGGTACATAGACAAAACTTCGTGCGTTAAGCAAACGTTACTCTTGAGCAGAATGGAGTTGAGAATTCTACGAGCCACTCCAATCAGACGCTTCCAGACACCTCCCATGTGTAAAGAGTGAAATTGGTTGAACTTCCAGGTACAACCATGGTCGGTGAGGAAACGTTTGATACCAGTCTGTCGTTGGTCTTTCTTGTCAAGCTTCAGCTCATCAAGGTTTCCATCAAATTGGTACCGCAACGTAATCTGAGCTCTCCTGCTGGTCATTAGAAGGGCATTGATGCAGCTGGAAGAGTCCATGGACTCGACAACCTCCATGTGGATTGCTTGTGTACTCAAACAGGTCCACACAATTGCCCGACTTTTACTTTCAGCCCTTTTACTTTTACTTCACTTTCCTCTTGTGCGGCGGGCAAGGACTAACCAGGTACCAACAACATCCAAGCCAACAAAGGTAAAAGCTGGGGTGGTACTTAGCCTTTCTGGGGGCATGTCTGTCATCTTCTGTTATTCCATTTTCCCGCGTAGCCTCTTACATGTAATGCACTTGTGTAGGATGGAATTGATGAGCCTGATCCAGAACTGCACAGCTCAGATTGCTTCCTTGGTGAAGTGGTAGCCGCGGTGTTGCACTGGTTCGTGGAAGTGTTTCACCCGGAGGGTTGAGACATGGTTGCATCTTGGTAGTGTGATGGGATTTTACTCTTGGCTGTCTAGTCTAGTATGACTCAGTCGACCTCTTTCGTACCTTGATTAACCCATTGTCCAGGGCCTCAAGGCGATGTAAATTGTGCGTGGGAGATCTTGCTTCTGGCTGAGGGAAGTAAACTCCGTATGGTAAACGTCTCTGTTAACTGACTGGATGATAACTCTCTTGGCCTGGTCCAACTCGTCCTGCGTGACTGCCTCGTTGTTCTGGTGTGAACCTCTGCCAGAATTCTTGTTAGTACGAACAATGTGGCTAAGGAGTGCAATACTTCTCAGGAGATTTCTGCTCGAACTGACGCCCACCAACGTTGGTAGTTAAGCACTTGAGGTCGGATTATGGTGTCTTTCTCTGGGCTGACCAACTCGTAGAAATCATCATCTGGAGTGGGATCAGCTCGAAGCAGGAATTCTGGTCCTGTGAACCATGTTGTACTAGGAAGTTGGGATGCTGCAATCCTTCTTGATCTAGGCCTATGGGCAGCAGGATTTTTGTCTGTTGATATGTAGTGCCAGTGACTAAGGGAGGAAGACTGCCGAATTCGCTGAACCCGGTTGTGCACATAGACGTAGAATCGTTTCGTTGTATTGAAGTATCCAAGCACAACCTTGCTGTCACAGTAGAGGTTTATTGCACGCAGCCTAACGTCCATTTCGTCAAAGATCAGATCAGCCATTTCCACTGCCAATGTACACGTGGTATGGTTGGCTATGACAATGGAGCCTTTCCCATGACAAAACATAGGCCTACATGAACCCCTCACAATTCATCAATAACTTTGAGATAAGCAGCTGCTGCGACTGCCTTGTAGACGCATCTGATAATACGCACAGCTCAATCCGCTGTGCTGTCTTCAGGGACTTTGTGACAGAAGCTCTTGAAGCGTGAATTTGCCCCAACTGCTTGAGAGAATCTCTCCAGGCTTCCCATTCCTTCAATCTACCCTCTGGGATTATATTAAGGTCTTCCTGCCACAGCGAAATAGTTTTCAACGGTTCTTTGTCACATTTTAAACTAGTCTATTAGAGGCAGCTCAAATGTACATGTAGTTCAGAAGTGCCTTGTACACGCACGCGGACGACGTGACCTGGTGACTAGGCATGCTAGGCCTTTCTGCACTAGGCCTAGGCCTCCCGTTCCATCTTGTCAATGCATAGGTGTGACAACTTTAAAAACATCAAGCGGTAGAATCTGTGTACTTTCATTTCAATATTATTCCAGGCTTTATAAACGTGTGCGTGTATAAACTGTCCAATTTGACAAGCCCACTGAAGACATATAAGTGTCTCTCCGCAAACTGTCTGCTACAAGGTCCATGGCCGTTCTTGCTTTCTTCTGCAGCCTTTCTGAGACCATACATAGCTCCTGCTTATGATGGGCTATTCCCAAAGATATGCACATTCATTCTGTATTCGATGATGTCTTTCGTTGGGTCATTGTCTCTGTACCACAAGAACCTCAGGTAGTTCCTGTGATCATATGACCACAAAACAGTGAAGCGTGTACTGAATGTGTGCAGTCACTGTAATTGCTTCCGTCCTAAATCGGATCCGAACTCCAAGACAACGATAATTCAAATCTGTGCAGGGGAGGGGGACGTCATTTAGAGACAGGCCTTCATGTAAGGTTCTGTATGCACACGAAATAAGACTGGTGCACTAACTGAAAAAGCATTTTAAGCCCATTTTGTACTGTATTTCTTCACCTGAAGCCAACTATGATACAGGAATGCTGTTTTCATTTAAAATATTACTCGACCTTTTCAATTAGCAACTTCAATGCTTAGAACAACAAGGAGAAATGACATTGTTGGAGCCAGAAATCCTCTCTATTAGAAAACAAATTTTGTCAGAGTTTATTCCTGTTCCTTTCATACTTTCCCAATTTTTTGTTCTACTTTCTCAGCATTATTCAATTATTCCAGCAAGAGGTACATCTCTAGACTATTTCGATCCAGTTTCGCACTTGGCCATAAATTCAAACTTGACGCGCCGTAAAGATTTCAAAGTAAAAGGGCCTGCGCGCGCTTCACATAAAAAAGAAGACAAAAGATATCATAGAGCGCACACAAAATAACGGTAACGCCGATGTACCACAATTGTGCAGTTTTGTTTTCTTGAGAGCACGGGAATTATTTGTGTTTTAACCTTCCAAGCAGACTCCGCCCCCTGAACCCCCTAAAACTTGGAAAATTTGGTTTTTTACCTAGCTTTGTGTCTAATTTTCACAACTTTGCCTAGTTTACCTTCAAATAACTTTGATGCCACACGAAAGACTAGTATCTCTTATGTACAAAAAAGGGTTACTTCAAGGAAGAAAACCGTTTTTTGAAATTCACTCCATATTTCATTGGGATCCATTTTCGTCATCTTCTGTGTTTTTTTTTTTTTTTACCTTACTTAGTGCCCAATTCTCACACTTGTGTTGGATTCCCCTCAGATCATCAGTGATACTGTCTGGAAGACTGATTTTTTTTTCTATCAACTCATTTATTTCAAGATCGAGAGCCATTTGTCTGAAATGCGGTTCGTTTTTCATGCGGGTTCAAATTTCTGCGTTGAGTTTGGCAGCGGTGAAAAATGAGATGTCCGGATTTGGGGCATGGTGCACACGTATACATACATACCCCTGGATACGAGTACGTTTGCGTACGAGTTGATCTACTGCATTGCAAAAATTCGTACAATCACGTCAAATTGCCCAACTTAAAAGGAACAAACAAAAACTTTCCGCCCTCATTCATACGATTTCCTTCTTGTGTGATGCTTTCTCGCTAGAGCGTTCATGATATTCCCCACCATTCACAAGCAGAAAAATGTCAGAGAAAACCCGGCAAAACTGAAAAAACAATCCCCTCTAAAATATTGTCCTCACTACCAACTTCTCACTCTTATTTTGCAGGTACGTGACAAAGACGGGCAAAAATGTGGCAGAAAATAACCTTTTATTGGTCCAAGTTAGCAAAAGGGACTTTTGAGTGTTTAAATTTTAATCGGTAGGGAAATGAGGGGCAAAAGACGTTACCTGAGCTTGATGTTGATCGATTATTTTTGGGGTCCAGCTGCCCGAGTGAAGAGCCATTTTACTGGCTTCTGGGAGTGTAGTTGGATTCAGTGCGCATGCGCACCAACTAAGTGAGGGGCATGAACATACGTGTAATAGATGCAGAATTTACACTAATTTGGGGGAAATCCCTTTTGAAAAGTGAACTCCTAAAACATGAAATCAGGTATCACCACGACAGATGAAATGAACTACGCGCGGGAGCCCAGTACAAGCAAAACGGGCCGGCGCGTCCGCTGCCGCCTGCGTTTAAAAAGGTCCTCCTTTGTAAAATCAACGATGTTCTTCCATTCCTACTGCAAAGCCAATTATTCGGTAGATTTGATGTAAGCAGAAGCTTCAGGTATTTATATACATCAGTCAACGATTTGTCAGATCATGAAACTTGGCACTTGGATATATTTTCTCACTTGCCTCGAATTCCCGACACACTCTTGTATCATCATAACCGAGACATAGTGAGGTTATACAGTTTCTTACCAAGTTTTCAAGAAACTGACCACTGACCTTTCACTTTGGGAGTCTAAAGAATGATCATGGGCTACTCATTTAATTTTGCAAACAATATATGCAAAATTGGAAATCAACTGTTTCTCCTTCCTTTTTTTACATTTTGCATTAAATTTGTTTAGGAGGGTTAAGACCTCACTACCCCCAAGAGCCGCACCTGCCTGTTATTGAAACTGCACCCCAATCAGAATGACGTATCATTAATTCATACGTTTAATCACTATTTCATATCACACTTCGTGGTATATCTTCACGGAGTAGTAGTCGGCTACTGCCAGTTGCCCGTCTGCTGTGAATGTCATCCCATGGGGGGAGCACAGACCCTGTGCGATGCAGTGGAGAAAGCCACCTTGAGGGTCATAGTGGTGGATATGACCGGTGCCAAGACCATTGTGCATTGCAACATAGATGCCTGCGCTGTCTGCGCATACACCAGTACAGTATTGAACGACCTCATCATTGATGGTAGGTCTGATGGTGTGCAGTGTATCGCCATTCCTGTCAACAATACCCACTGACATTGAGCATCCACTGAGTACAACTCGATCACTGCTGTCAACAGTCAGATAAAAAGGTTTAATCTTGACTGTGATTGTGCTTCTGAGTTGGCCATCCGTGGGGCTGTGTTCGGTCAGCACCATCCTCTCGATATCACCGACTACGATGGTTCCATCTGTCTTGACTGCTACACTCTGGAGGTCAACTGCGGTCTTACCGACCTCAATCGGTGGCACTGTGGGGAACTGAAAAGCTAGCGTGTTGTCCTTGTCGAAGACATTCACGTGGGATGCGTTATCCTCAACAACCACCAACCGATTGCCGGTGGGTGTAGCTGCAATACCTCGTGAATCTGTTTTGTGTGGATAGACACGAGAAAAAATCTTTATTTAAGTCTCCAGGCTTACACTTGATCTTCGTAATATTAATACACTAGAATACACAGTCGTGTTGAAACAAAATTAAGCATATAAAGTAAGTTTTTATCCAATGTTAGGAGCATGGGAGAGCTTTCTTCGTTACCGTCCATTACCTGTGCTGCATAGTATTTACACATGAATGAACACGCGTTGGCAAATAAATACTTCAAAATAACAGAACTGTGCTTTGGGATTTACAGCAGGAAATGTTGATTGTGAATTCTACGGGAGGTGAAATGGTTTCAACATTTTTCACGGTACTATTCAAAACGCATATTTGTTTTGTCGTTATGTAACATATAAATGTATTTGGACTACAGTGCAAAACAATGGTTGATCCCGCATTCAGGGAAAATAGATTCTTTTTTCAGATGCCCAGGTGTTGCGCAAATGAACCGCCAGTACAGTCTTCTTGGGAGAGGATGATTATTCAATGAACAAAACACCCGGCAATACCCATTTCATATTGATCTGGAAAAATAACAATGCTTAATAGAGGCTGCATATCTCAAAGTGTTTCTTTTTCTCTCTCTGCTTGTAGCCTCTTTAGGCTAGTTACCATGTCATTCTGTGACAAGCCTTTAAACCCTTTATGTGCCTTCAAAACGAGCAATTCCGAAATTAAGTTGAACAATTTCTATCTAAACTTACATCCTTGCATCGGAATTGTGCTTTTCGGGTTACCATCGATGCTGTATGTCACAACTCGTTTGTTTTCCCACGCAGTCACTGCAACCTCATCAGGCTGACGAGCAGCAACGACCCGAGCCCAATCAAACGGACCAATTCCCTGGCTACTAAACACGCATTGCTGCCCCCACTTTCCTTCCGTCACCACCTGACCCAGACTGATGTCACCTACCCCCTC